GTGAGTGAGTGAGTGAGTGAGTGTGTGTGTGTGTGCGTTTCTGTGACACATGAGGACATAAATTTGTATAATGACATGGGTATGGCAGGTATTACAAGGAGAAGGTGACTTATGAGGACATTACCCCATGTCCCTATTTTTCAAAACACTTATAAATCATACCCGCGCTCACCGGCCGCTCGTCCCGGATCACTGTGACGTTCACTGCAGTCACTGAGCATGCTGTCATGCCTCGCAAAGCTGTGTTTCTGTTAGTTAAAGTGAACTCACCAGCTGTCTGACATACACCAGTGCAGTCATTCAGATATTGATTAAATATTTGATCAAAAATACAGTAAAAACAGTGAAATATTATTTATATTTCAAACAGCTGTTTTCTATGTGAATATCTGTTAAACTGTAATGTATTTCTGTGATGTGCAGCTGTATTTTCAGCATCATTACTGCAGTCTTCAGCGTCACATGATCTTCAGAAATCAGTATAATATGCTGATTTGCTGCTCGAGAAACATTTCTGATTATTATCAATGTTGAAAACAGTTGTATATTTTTTTAAATTATTTATTTATTGGGATTAATAATGGTTTTGTTTGTTTTGAAAAGATATTAACTCTTTTATTCATCAAGGACGCATTAAATTGATCAAAAGTGACAGTAAAGACATTTATAATGTAACAAAAGATTTCTATTTCAAATAAATGCTGTTCTTCTGAACTTTCTGTTCATCTGTGAATCCTGGAAAATAAAATGTATCACAGTTTCTACAAAAATATTAATGTTTTCAACATTGATAATAATCAGATCCATTATTAATACCAATAATAACTAATTATTCAAACGTTTGAGCAGTAGTGTATGTGAAAAGGATGAACACATTAGTGATCATGACAGTATGTCATTGTTCAGATAAATATATAGTTGTTTTCTCAGTGAGGTATCAGTCTGATCTGAATCTTCTGATCGAGTTCTGATGTGTTTCAGCTCAGTGACTCTGCAGCAGAAGTGCTCTATATTTTCCCTTCATGATGCTCACGAGGTGTCGTCTGTGACGCTTGTGATCCTTCAAGTCTGAATTTGGACTCGTCCCATTTCCAAAATTGAGTTTGCAGCCTTGATTTAGTAGCCTGAGCATGTTTTTCTTTTTAACTGATAGAATCAGCAAAGTTTCTGTTTACAATTACATTTGGTGGATTTTGAGTAAAAATTAATGCAGATCTGCAGAATAAAACTTTTTATTTTGATTGATTGATTCATTCTTCACAGGTTTGATGAGATGCACACACACACACACACACACACACACACACAC